GCTGTTCTTCCGGTCCCACTCGTCGCCCTCCGAGGTCCCCCCGCCCTCCTCCGGGCCCTCGTCCGAGGCGGCGCCGTCCCGCCCTCCGCCGCTTCCCGCCGCGCCGTTGCCGTTGGCGGCGGAGTCGGAGGCGGCCGCCCGTCGGTAGCGGCCGAAGCTGTCGGTGATGATGCCGCGGCCGTCCTTGACGCCGATGGTCTCCAAGAAGTTCTCAAAATGCTGACTGTCCTTCTCGGGGATGAAAGGACGGAGGCCTATGACGGACAACGGGAAAACGTGTTGTTCAAGGCGCACAAAATGTTGTTCTGCTTTGTCCACTGCACATAAATGTCAAAATGACATGGATATGATGCAGTTATGAACGGTGGGCAATTAACTAGTTTGCGCAACACGACTAAAGAGGAGATATTTATAGTCTCAATCTTTTCAAGCAAACAGCGATGTCGTAAGTGCACTACTGTGTTAATGCATGTTAGTGATCGGCTACGGCACTTGGGTTCTGCGTAAAGGGCCAAGGCGGCTTTATGCTGAATGATGCCGCTTTTACGCTTCACATGGAAATGTCGGGAGTAGAAAAGAGAAGAAGTCATACCAAGCAGAAGAAACTTGCGGCTGTCTCCGTAGAGCTGCCGCAGGTTAATGCAGAACTCGTGGATGGAGGAGCCGTTGCGGTAGTCGTGCAGCAGTGCGGCAAACTGCTGGATTTCCTGGGAGGACAGCTTTGTGCGCAGCTGGACGGCACAAAAGGATAACCGTGTTCACGATCACGACAGAATGCAATTCATACGAACCATGAGCCGCTCATCCTTTGAGGTTGAGTGATATGAGTTGCTACTGATGAGCTTCAAGCGGTCAACAGATTTACCCAAACAGTAGATTGATCACACCATAATAACAAAAATAATGAGGAGAAGAACGCGGCCAACTGTTGGAACGGGCAGCATAGCTACCGTGGTCATGTAGTCCTGGAGCAGCTCGGCGGCCGTGGTGCTGAGCTCCCCTTCGCTCGCCGCCTTGGCCTGAGGGGAGGCGGGCCCGGAAGCCGACGGGGAGCTGCCGTCCGCTTCCATCGATGCCTGAAATGGACTTGCGTGGGGTGGGGGTGGGGGGGGGGTGGCTTTTCAAAGAACATCGACTACTTCCGCGTACAACGTGAGGAAAAATGAGATGGTGAGCTCTTACAAAGGGCTGGCCTCGCCTTCAAACGCTTCTTTCATGTCCACTTTGCTTGACGAGTCATCTGAGGAAGTATCGAGTTTGACGACAAAGTTAGTACTTGAGCACACGAGGTCCAATTCTCACTCTTGCACCTTTCTCGCCAACACGAGCCCACTCGCGGCAGATGCCGCGGCGCTCGAAAGAGGCCACACCAGCCGACTGTCCAAAGGGTCGATGAATTTTAGGCGCGGTTTACATTGAATACGTTTATCGGGGCAATCCAAATTTGAAAGCGTGATACTAACACGTGAACATTTCTCAGCAAAGTGTTTGATTCCTGAGAGTCGGCTTCGAGCGCTTACCGCTGTAGAGGGAAAGATGTCTTGTGGGCGTGGTGGCTCCGTCAAAGATGGCTCTGTCCAAGAAGTCGATGGTGGACTCGGTGTAGACGATTTGAAAGACTTGGCTGAGCAGAAGGCACAGCTCCTCGGCGGCTGCCTAGCACGCACAACAACGACGACGGATCATTTTCCCCCACCTTCTCCCTTCCCAAATATGAAATCCAATCATGGGCTTTTTTTTTTTCTTTGCATGGGAACCAGTGAGGAGAGGCAAATTGCTGCGAAGATGACCAAGGAATCCAACGTACTTTGTCGTCAACGGCGAGGACCAGCAGACAGCACACTTCCACCAGCACGGCCCCGCTCTCCGACAAGGAGCTTAGCGTCTGAGATTTGTTGAGATCGGGACAGGAGCTCGGACAGGGAGAGCCTCCGGATTCCTGGGCTGAGGAGCGGAAGCAGACATGCAGTACGTGCAATCGTTCAGCATCACTATTCTTGTCGGACACACTTGCGCTCCAGTTCGTACCCGTCTTGATGACGACGAGGTGCAACGAGTCGTCCCGGATGTAGGACACGGCGGCAATGTCGTGGATGGGCACCCTCAGGATGATGTCCTCGCCGTCGCGCCACACCAGCTTGACGTTGTACGCCGACAAGCTCACCACGGCGTCCTGCTCCGACGTCAGCTGGCCCGCCAACTGATGCGCCTTCTGCCGACAGGAGTGAGAGTCACGCTTGGGCGGTCGCCTCCAGAGATGGCCGCGAGTCTCAAAGGCCGAGTCCAAGTCAAGTTCTCGACCACGAGTGCAAGTCAAAAGCTACGACAAACGGCAGCGATGCAACAGCCTGCTGCTCCGAGGTTTGCCATGCTGGTAATTGTTTATGGGTCGTTGTCACATTTGTCTACTCTTCGTCATTAACATTGGACTCACACGGGGCCCTGAAACGTAAAAGTTTAGAACCCCCGTTCGCAAGTCTGTGGTGATTCTCGCCGACTTACTCTTGCATTGTCAATGAGCTGCAGGACTTCAGTCCTGCTCGATGGGTTCAAGTATCCCGGCACCGATGTCAGCTGTCCCAAATACTAGAAAGAAAGAACACAGCACCAAGTTGTTGTGTCAAACGGTGTCAATTTTAAGTTTAGGGCGAGAGGTTCTTCTCTTCTTTGCGTTGGGAGTTTTCCCTCACTTTGACTTCCTTCTCGATGTAGTCATTGAGCAGGATGTCGGGGTCGATGCGGTGGTCGGGTTGCGAGAGAGAGACCGTGTGGAGTGCCCGGCGCTCCGCGGACTTCTCCTGCGCCTTCTTGTCCCGTCCCTTTTCGCCCTTCAGGAAGACCCGCTTGAAGGGCGACACGATACCAGGCTGGGGGGGGGACCCACGGGGAAGTTCAGAAAACACTGAGACGCTTACAACACGCATCGCGGCAACACGGAGCCGGGGAGGACAGCAACAATTGACCTCACGGGGGAAAAAAAAGAAATCACTCTTGTTACTCGGTGGGAGCGGTCTCCGTGTACACTGGAAAAGAAGAAGCGACCACTACTGCCCCGATACTTACACAATGTGTTCTGCGCAGGTTAGTGAGAGCTTCCAACGTATTGCGACTGACTAACTAATTTGGATTATGTCGCCGCCATAAGACTCCGGCCTGAACTTTTTTCCCCCCGACTCAATTCTGAGTAAACGGTTTAGTTTTCTCTTCTACTGCATCAAAGCACTAACCATAAAAGGCTCTGAGGATGCTTCTCAATCAGTACAGAATTTCAAGAGCCTACCTCGTACTCCATGCAACCAAATGCCAGCAGATTCCCGTGATTGTTGAAGTCGTTTACTCTTAAAACCCGTTGCCTCACTTTACAACAAAGTGGCAATGTCTCAGGGCGAGACGCGCGAGCCACAACAACAGAAAAGGGAAGACGTTGCCTGGAGAGGAAGTGGACTGCCGCAGCATCCTGTGATGACACCAGCGCTCAAACTCGACGACGGGACAACTCTGCAAACGACCGCTGCATTATTTAACACCGGGTGGCTTCACGCGGCAGGTGCATTAACATTGTATGCTCGCTAGAGAAATGTGAGCTCACAGCTGTTCGATTTGAGCCCGTTTCTGATCCGCATCGGAAACAAATAATATTCACGGGTTTGTTCGTGTTGCTTCAAGGCGAATCGCTTCTTAGTTTTAACGTTCATACTCTGCCGTTTACTCGTCGAACTGAATCCACGGACTTTCATTTAGCCAAACGGCAAAAGGTCGAACTATTATTTTCGATCCGCGAGAGACTGGGGAATGATGACTGCGTGATTAAGGCAACGTCGTCTACTCTGCAATTTGCACAGCTCACTATCGCTCTCAAGTGGCACAAACGAGAAGTGCAGGACCCATGACATCACTATCATGGACGACCGACGAGCCATAATCGATTGACCACATTTAATTCATGAGCGGAATATGACTCATTCCTGCTGTATGTCGAGAAACGCGTAACATAAGAGAATTCTTGAGCTGGGTGAGGTGACGTTACTGGAGGTGACTAAAGCTAAATCTCAGCGCCACAGTGCGAGACGTGGAGTGTTATTGGTTCATGTACGCTCTCGTGTTTCTAATGCTGGCTTATTTGGTACCAGAGAGACGTCATGATAGCTCTGGGACTAACTTTGGCGTCAAACCCGCCTGGTTCGGCGAGCTAGAGCGGGTTAGCATGCTAAGCCAACCAGTAGAAGTGAGTGGCTGGCCGTACAAAGTGTGAACTTGCCTTTTTCACTTTTTTCACATCTTCCTCCATGTCTACGGCGAGGTCCTCTTCCTCATGTTCTGCTCGCCGCCTCCCCCTCGACCGTCCAAGCGCGACACGACATCATCAAAACGAAGATTCCGAGAACTCCTTCCGACGTTAGCTTAGCTTGCTAGCCTAGCACGGATGAAGTTGGGGTGGGTGATAAGCGCCATTCTCATTTTTGGATGCGTGCCGAAGTCCTTTGGCGGAAAGGCGCCATACGAGCCTTCCGGTGTGAATCCAAACGGGGAATTGTTGAGCTACACGCTTCGCCGATTGCTCGCGAAACAAAGTGGAACAAAACAATCCAAACTTTTCAACCGTGCCGCCATTTTGGGCGTCGAATGCGGTCAGGCACGCACAGCAGCGCCCCCCTTTGGTCCAAGTGGCGACACGCAGCCAGTGCAAGCTCACGAAGTTTTGAGAAACCACACAAAGCGGAACGGACCCCTTTGTCGGTCTACACGCACAAAAAAGAAACATGCTCTTATCTTAGACACGACTAAAAAGCTCTCACACAAACTCTTACACTCTCACTTGCACCACAGATTTTTTTCCCCCGCTCAAACTGAAACGCTTGAACACACACTACTTACACACGCTTATATGCACTACTATAGCTGTAGAATCGATATTGCTGCTGCTTGATAAAACATGAAAGACGTGTTAGTTGAATATAAACCTCCGAGGCCTGTCAGCTCTGGGAATGAACGGAGAATCCAAAGCAAACACGGTGAATCAGCATTTAGCTGGTATGCTGCCCGCAAATATACTAAATTGCCAACAGAAGTCCAGCGTAAATGCTTTCAAATCCAGTTTAAAACCTATGCGCCCCACCGCTTGAGCCAGGAAAAGTGTTTGCCGAGGCCTGCACCGGGACTTGGCAACCACAAACTCTCCATTCAATGGATGCTTCAAAGTGTGAAAAAGCTTTTAGCCGTCACAAACGCAGTTTGCTCACAGACTCCAAGCGGAAGTTGCTCAACGAGCTCGAGCAGGAATCGAACGTGGCTCCGGGATAACCTCTGACCCAAAACAAAATCCTCAAATGAATCTGATTCTGATCCTGAAATATGGCGTTATTTACACTTCAAATAAAATTGAAATTAGAAATTAAGATCAAATGATTACTTCCATTAGAATGGGACAGAAAAACGCGAAAGCACGCACGTATACACACACACATCATGTGGCCGTATTGCACTTTCAAATATCATATTTATTTTTTTCTCCTCTGGGATGAACAGTCTCATATATGAATCTACAGTAAGGCTTAACATGATATTTTCAGCGTAATAGTTGTCATTTCCTCTAAAACAAAAACCATACAAAATGAACATTAGCACCATATGTTATTATATTCATATTGTTCCCTAAAACAGGGCAAAAAGGTACAATACTGGACATCAGCCTTGCTTATTTCGTTTTTTTTCTCCTCTTCCCCATGAATGATTTACTCATGTTTTATAATACGTAACCACTACAAAGAAATCCCAACTATGTGCCTTTTTTTTTTTTTTTGTAATCCATAAAAATCATACATAACCCAGAGGTTATTTAAATACACACCCACAAGCTAACACAACCTAGAAATTGAGGGAATATCAAGAAAAGCAACCTTTTGCCATAACGATTTGTAAATTAGCAGCAATTGACGTGACACCCGTCGTTGCTCGGTTGCAATATCAAGTCCACGTTCCGGTCAACTGTCACAGCCAAGTCTACAATCAGAACAAAAGAAAGAGATACGCACAGAGAAAAGGACATATTGATGACAGGAAGCTACAACACATCAATCACATTCGATATATATAGACTTGTTTTGCTTTTTTTTAAATGTTATTTCCATCTGCAGTTTGTGCTCCAAAATATCGCAGTTCTGTGTCCCGGATAAAAACAAACAAACAAAAGCAACTGGACGCAACACCGTGCGCAGACCCGCCGTGGCAAATCAAAATGGCACCGTAGAGAGTTGTGTGGTAGAGTGTGTGTGTGTGTGTGTGTGTGTGTTTCGATTGAGGTGCTGGCGCTTTTGAGCATACATGTTGTTGTTGTTTTGGGGCCGTCTTGCTTTTGTTGCTCCTTGGGAAGCCCCAAAAGTGAAGTGTTAGCACCACTGGATGAGTTTGTTCAGCACCGGGTTGTAAATGCACCATTTGCTAGACTGTAACGGAAAGTCGTGACATCAGAGCGTGGCGCCGAATCCACTGTGCCCCGCTGCCGCACGTCAATGCACGAATCAAAGATGGCTGCTGAGAGACGGCGACAAAACGAGCTTGTTGCAAACCAGTTTCCTGTTGGATCCAGATGGCCAGAATGTTTTGTGGAAGCGGGAGACAAACGCGTGGTCCAAACGATGGACGTTGGGCACTTACGTGCCACATTGTGTTTTGTGTCGCATTGAGGGTTTCTATTGTTGCGGCCTGGGCGTCTCGGTTCTTCCGCAAACGTGCAGAATGACGACGAGACGGTGTCTGAGCCGACAGGCGGCATCCGCTCAGGAGCACATTTGGGGAAACAACCGCGTGAGGTTCAGCGGGGACAGGGGCAAGGTGAAGAAGCTGCCGCAGCCGAACGCAAGAGACCCGAAAGTGAGAGGCCTGAGAAGAACCAGCTTCTGGTGGAAGCGCTCTTGCTGTGCGTCGCAGCTGCTGGAAAATGTTTTGGTCAACCTTGCGCCTCATCCAGTTCAGAGGCTTCAACTGGCAGTCTGTCGTCGTTTGCTTCGCTCTCGGATTCCCTTCATCACTCAAAGTGAAACACATCCAAAACTAAAACCGAGAATGTTGCCTTGAGCTAAGACTGCAATTTGTTCTGTGAGCAAAACCGGAACGTTTTACTTGAGCGGTTTTTGCCCACTGAGTGGAATTGAACTCGTAATTCAGGGGAGCACCGGATTTGGTTTCTCTGACTGTTAGAACCCTTGTTGCAAGGTTGTACTGTGGAAATGTGTCAAATACCGTGCACGTCCTCAAAACGCAAGTTGAATGATCTAATCTTGTTGTTTTAAAAAAGAAAAGAAAAACATGAAGCACCGTGAGGCAAAATGATGAATTGCCACGAGTCACGGTGTCGCCGCACCTGATTTGTGTCGCTATCTGTAGATGAATCCTACATGAGCCCCCAAGTACGCCGCTCCAACGGCGTCCTAAACCTTGAGTCCACCCTATCCGACTCAACCCGTCGCCCAAGTCTGAACTCGGATGTTGATGTTCTTTGGCAGTGGACCTCATTGCTCGGTGTTCAGTGTGCAGAGACCTGGCATTGTGTCAGGGCTGTGAGGGGATCGAGCGCAATGACCTGCATCTATGAGAACGGGTGCAAAGGACCAGGGAGGAAAAAGCCAAAAGTGAGGAGGCCATTTCTGACCCTCTGGAACAACGGGCGCCAATGGACTTTGCAGAGCGACTTACTGGGCTCCGAGAGAACACTTTGGTTCGGTTTGGATCCATTAAAACGGAGGTTGCATTTGCAGTGCGGCGCGGGGGCCGAGCCAACGAGAGGCTCCTCTTGCAACCAGGAGAACGAAACGAGGCCAGGTAGGTTGGGAACTGAAACGTCCATCAATGCGAGCCGTACGGAAACGACGGAGAATGAATCGGAACTAGCAGAGGTGCGCTCCAAGTGACAAGCCATTGGCTCCCTCAACGTGCGCAAATGTCAAACGCCATCACACTCCTCTTTTTTGAATCGAGGTCTCGTCTTTTGACCGTTTGCCAGGCCCAAAAGGCACAGGGAAATTCAGAAGCTTGAGGTAAAACCTCTGAAGGTATCACCGCGGTGACAAGACATTGAAAGGTGCGGGCGATACTCCCAATCGGACGCCAAGGCCTTCCATTTGTCCCTTCTCCAGGGCCCAAAAGGTGCCGGGATGTTCCGAAGCTTTCTCGTGAACAAAAGTAGAATTTCTCAAGGTACAGTCTGCACCAACGGAGCTCCCTCCCTGCTGGACTCAAAGCTCGACTATTTGTACCTTTTCTCATCTGCAAAAAGTATCTTCCCAAGCTCGCCATTTCACGGGTGCCAAAGGAGAGCTTCTTGAGAGACAAGCCACCGCAGCCGGTTTTGAAAGGGGCCCACGATGGTTCCCGAGCTCTCATTTCGAACGCGTGTCGCTCACCTCCGTTTCAGGGTCGGGAGACGTTGCGCTGTCGCCCCTCTCGCCTCCACTAGGGGGCAGGCCGCAATGAAAAGATTTCCTGAATGGGCGGAACTGATCGAAGGTCAGTGTGCTTGCGTTTCCCCCGCCCCTCAGCCTCCGGCATGTGATTACGATTTGGGAACAGCCGGATGAATTTGATCCCGCTCACATTTACGATACCGCGGCATAACCAAGGCTCTCGGTAACCACCATCAACGTTTGCATGATTTACATAAAGGACGGCAGTAATAGTCGGGATGTGCAAAAGGCCCGCGCCCTCGGTCTGACACGCTCCTCCCACATTCCCATCGGGCGTTGGGGCCGGTCCCGGTGTCAGAAGGAGGAGCGTACCATGTGCCCTTCACAGGTAGACGCCAGTCAGTCAGAAAAACGCACGAGATAAATTTCAGAGTGAAACATTCACATGTTATCTCTCCGCGCAGCCGCAGGCGCGGAGGCATTCTTGTTTCTCCCCAAATAAATCATGACTGGCACAGAAACAGAGCGACTGCGGAGGGTCGAAGGAGGACAAGAGGGAGATGAGAGGGAGGAGCGTCAAAAAGAACGCGCGTGAGAGCGGCCTTCAGAACGACGATTCGTACTGCAGGAGCTCATAGAGGAGGGGGCCGTCCCTGTACCTGATGCCCACCGCGTTAGGGCTCACATACTGCAGCACGTTGATGGTCCTGCGCAGGCGTCGATCCACAAAGTGGGCGTCCCAAGCCGGGTAGCGCTTCCTGGGCATGTCTATTTTGATGAGGGGGCCTTCGGGCGGGACGGGCCGGCCGGACGCGTCCACCGGCTCCGTGGACCTCACCTGGAAAACCGGAAGGCAGGAGGAGTCGGCGGCGCTTTGCTCGGACTCCGCATGCTCCCCCGCCGGGCCCCGCGTGGGTGTGGCTTGGGAGCCGCGCGGGCCCGGCGTGGGCGCCATGGGCTCGGCCTCGGGGGGTAAAGGCAGCCCCCAAAGCAACTCGGCGCAACAGGAGCTCGCCAGGAGCCTCAGCCGGGGGCCCTTGGGGTGCAGGACCCCGTAGTAGAGGACCATGCAGGCCACACCTGAGGCGAAGCACAGGAAGACGCTGCAGAGGGCATAAGAGGCATAGGCGTCGGTGGTGACTGGGTCACGGTATGCGTACCAGAGGCCGCTGAGAACGGCATTCTCCAACAGGACTACGGTGTAATAAACCACCATTCGGAACCGGGTCCGCCCTTCCTGCACATTGAACCAGCAGAAGACGTAGACCACCCCGACCACCATGTTGAACAGCACCTCCTCCCACTTGGACATGCAGAAGTCGGTGCCGCCGTGGATGACCCAGAAGGCCATGGCGCACCAGTGGAGCACCACGAAAATGCCAAAGTAGATGTGGAAAACCGAGGCGAACAGGGCAAAAGACAGCACCCGCGAGGAAATGGTGAAGAGCCGCCAGAAGAGGTGCACCAGAGCGCCGCGGTAGCTCATGCTCTTCTGGTCGTCGCGGGAGTCGCGCAGGAGCTTGTGGTAGGACGCTAGCACCCAGGCGAGGGACAGGAGGGAGGACAAGACCGAAGAACCTGACGAACACAAACAGGCAGCGATACTTTTATTTTGGTCTCATCGGCAACATTTCCATCCCTTTTCTCAACGGTCTTTAGTCGCATTTGCGTCGCGGGTAGGCTGGAGCCCGTCCCAGATGATGACCGTGAACTCGACAATAGTCCATCGGCCTCGTACGAACCGAGCGGGTCGGCGCACGAGACCAGGCGGGAATACCTAAAGCGCCGTTATTGCTCTTAGGAGCCTCTTAGGGGAGGGGCGTCACGCTCGCTTTCATCGCAGGGCACGTCGTTGTGACGGCGGCTCTCACGGGGTTCTGCCAACGACGGTGAAAAACCACCTCAATGCTAATTGCCCAAAATGGGCACCCTCTGGATTTGAAGGTCACGTGAGGTCTCGGAAGGGAAGCCAAATGCAGACCAAACACCTTCTGGTTTTGTGGAAGCAGGGGAAGATTTCATGTAGCCACCGGAAGGTACCTTTGCGCCAACGCCCTTTTTAGCAGGGGAAGATTTCATGAGGGGCTATCGATAGCCACCGGAAGGTACCTTTGCGCCAACGCCCTTTTCCCCACCGCGTTGCATCGATGCACACTTGTCGGTTTTGTACGAGTCAACAAGTTTGGCGCGCTGCCAGCCACACCCGGAAAATGCATCTTCCCTAGCTGAGAACCGCCCGATTACTGCCCGGGTATTTTCCCGCTCGAGCTTTCGCGGGCCGCGTAAAATGACGGCGAGGCCCGGCCCCGAGTTGGCGGCCCGCGCTTCAGGCGCCATCGTCTTACACTGCTGCCACTCGGCCTTGTTGCTCTGGATCATGATGCAAAGCTGCAGCACCAGCTGGGGAGCGCTCTCCAGGAAAGTCTCCAGCAGTCGCAGCATGTTGACGTCGGCATACTCGTACATCATGGCCCAGTAGAAGCGCCGCCGGTTCTCCTTCTGCCGGTGGCTTTGCACGCCCAAGTACATGGTGCGGATGTACCTGCGGAGACAGACGCAGGGCGCTCGGATCACTCCAACGCGACGCCGTGCATTCTCATTGGAAAATAAGGCACGGTTGAAACGTGATTTTTTTTTTGGGGGGTTTTTGAGGATCTTTGGTGTCAGCTTCCAGACATCAGCTCGGCTGTTGTTTTGGCGCAATATGACGCAAGCTATTTGATTGAAAAAAAAAAGTCTTCTCTCTATTCAACTATTACAAAACGCGGTCGCGGTTGGGTCAAAGTTGAGGGATTATGACTGGAGCTCCAGGCACTGTCTGCCGAGGTAAAGGCTGGTCATCTCTGACATTTTCATTGGGACTGGTAAATGTCAGATGCAATCAGAGAAAAATTCTCGTCTTCCCTGTTGTCAGCCCCGCCCACCCCATTCGGTTCCATTAGCCGCAGCGTGCGCCATAGCTCCGGAGTCTGACACCGGGAGGGTCTTTGGCCCCGAAAGACTGACTGGCCTTGGCAAAAAAGCATCTGCAAATCGTACAAAAATCGGGACTGCGTTCCCGTGACATGAAAGCGCGGTATAACGGGCGCAACCGATGAAGCGCGATATAGCAGGAGGACACCGTCCAGTTAAACAAACACTTTCAACGCCGACAGAAAAAAATCAAGACTCACTTCATCTCACACACACACGCACACGCACATCATGGCATCATGTTAACACTCCCGCTGTGTCTTTTTCCAAAACAAATAGCTGCCTGCAAATATTTCGACACACACATCTCACTTGTCAGCTTTTGGCGAAAAGGGGGGATTTCCTTGGATGCGGCGGCCCCCTTGACGCCACCCCTCCCATTCGCCCGCCGTCTTGCCCGCTCTTCCACAGAGCGCCTCATGAATTATTTGTGGCGCGATTGTAGCCTTTTGCTCACAGCTCGTTAAATCGCAAGTCAGCGTGTGTGTGTGTGTGTGTGTGTGTGTGTGTGTGTGTGTGTGTGTGTGTGTGTCTGGTAACAGCTCGGTGCTCCAAGCTCAGCCGTCTGCTGTCGAGACGGCGGCACCCATCATCATCATCATCATCATCATCATCATCATCATCATCCTCATCATGACCACACCTCCACGGACACGAGCTCTGCCTGCATGCCAACGGCAGGGCAACAACAGGAGCCGCACATTTCAAGACCCCGTGAAGACGAAATGAAATGCATTCTACGGGACGTGTTTAAAGATCATCTTTCAAATTATTCTTGCGGTTATCCCATCCATTACTCGAGTCATTGGATAAAAATGGATTTTGCTACACTGACGTATGTGTTACTTTGAATGTGTGTGGTTTTAAAAGGCGGGGCCTGGCTCGGTCAGTGACGTGGCAGTCAACAAATGACTGTTGGGAGATCAGGTTCTACTGTGGCTGGCTGTTACCTGGCCAACTGCAAGCCAGTCTCCATGTCGAGTGACCGGATGGCAGAGCAGTCATGTTCTGATGATGACTTTTTCGTGGCGGGGGGGGGGTTTCTTCGTCATCCAATTATCCAAGTTATTCTAATGATCGATGAAGGAAGCCCCACTTTGACTGTGTGAAGCCGCTCGATCGGCGCATCCCAAACTCACAGCACAAGGCAAAAAAGAAAAAAAAAATCTTTGAGTCGACTGTATTTGCGTCAAGCTTGGAGGAGCTGACAACCTTTGCCGTCTCGAGCAACTTCACAACCCTTTAAGCCGCAACGCACACAAGCCCCGAGGGCGCGGTGAATGAACTTGGCGCGTGAAACGAAAGTGTCGCCATCAGCAACGATTCCAGACATCGGCAGTCGCCCCGGGGCTAGATCCACCTTCCCCGCAGGGATGAGCGCTTCTCACGTCAGCCGGATGTCTGTTTCCGACAGCGTTTGCCGATAATCCGGTCCGACCTCCCGATAGGTCGTCCATATGCCCGAAACGCCCCTCAAGACGAGGAAGGAGATCCTATTACTTGTCATACATGAGCAAAAAGAGCAAGACACCACCAAAGCAAAAGCAAAATGGCGGCGCTTCATTTTCTCGCCAGGGCAAGTCTATCTTTGCGCGTTTGGGAATTTGGCGGTCCGTGCTCTGAGGGCGTTTTCTGTTCAGCACACCTGGCGATTTGTTGACAGACAATCGAGGAGACTGTAGACCGGGTGAAAGTTGGGACGCAGGTCGTGGAAGGCGATTTCAGTGGATCGAATCCCAGCACAGGCAGACAGAATGTGCACTCCTGGGACCTGGAAGGTGGTCTCCAAGTGACCACTTGACAGCAGCTAACTCTGCGTCATCCATCTTGCGAGAGGTACTTCGCATGCGCCGATCTCCTGCCTTGACTCCAGCCAGCGAGTCTTATACGCTTCCACCGTGTCGACTGACCCACAGCTGCCCGGGCCCTCACTCGCTAAGACCTGCGCTCTCAACGCAGCCTTTGTGGCCCAACGTGTGTCCTATTCAGGAGCAGCGCCGTTCCTCCATCAGATACGTCTTCATCCGCCCTCTGGCGGCGATGAGGCCATCGCCGCTACGCCGCCTGAGCCCGGCTCCAAATCCCACAGCCAGTCCGACGAGCGCAAAGCCGCAACGATCTGTGAGCGGCGCCTCGGGGCCATCGGGCGGGATGGAGCGATAGAATGGAGCGGGCGCGATGTGAGCCCAAAGGAGGGAGGGAGGGAGGGAGAGGCTTGCGGCGTGCGTGTCCACAGCAAAATGTTATCGCCACGCTTGACATCTTCTCAGCAACACCAAAGTCAGCGTCCTGCCGAATGCAGACGAACTGCGAAAAAAAAGATGCGATCTCGCCACACCGTATCTACTCGCAAGACAGAAGTCGCGGACGGAACATCTCCAGCTGATCGAAGAATGCAGGTGGCATGAAAAACACCCATGCGGCAAGGTCACCCAAGAAGAAGAAGAAAAAAAAAAAAGAACTCTCAAAAGGAGCTATTGATCCTTTCTGCCAGTCATGACGAGCTGTCAGAGGCGACGGGCCGGCGCGGTCCAAGATCCACACCCGGAATTAAATGACGGACAGCCTTCATCAAACGACGGGCTTCAGCGCAGCTCTGATGGGCGCTATCGCTGCATGACAGCCAAAGTCGACTCTCGAAGGCCAAAGAAACGCAGTCATGAAAACGTCTGCGAAGGCAACGTAGCCAGGTGCCCGATTGGTATGCCAACACAAAGCTTTCAGAGGAATCTTTGACATTTTCAATGTTTTCCTCAGAAAACGTTCAAATTCTGACAAGGAGTTCAGAGCTGGAACGTGGCACGTTATGCAGCTACTTTTGCAGCACTTATTTTGCATTGGGGGCCTTTGTATGCATTTTACCCCAGCACGATTGCTGATACGGTCCTGGGTTATTCCCGCAAAAGCAGGAAGCCACCGCGGCCTCTCGCCGGCCTTCTTCTTTTTTTTTGCTCTTTTGGAGCCAAACTGTCGGGGATAGCCAGGGGTGAAAGATTTCCCTTCATGTTCCGATTTGGCAGGTGCTCTCCCCCGCCACAGGAGGAAGGAGCAGATCATGTGGCGGATTAAGAAGAAAAGGCTTTGACCCAGTTGCTTTTCAAAGAGAGCATGACCCAAAAAAAAAAAAAAAAAGAAAGAAAGATACAAAAAAGAAAAGTGCACCATTGCTGGCTTTTGGTCATTGTCCACACTCAAAATAACATTTCTTCTCCGTCTTGTCTACAAATAAACCCAAAGAGGTTGTCAGCCGTCACTTGGTTCATTATTTGCTTTGCGTTGCGCGCCAAAATCGGAGCCGTCGCTCAGGCAAGACGTTTTCAGACATAATTAAATTGTTTGCGAGGTGGGAGAATTAATTACTGGGGGGGGGAAAACCTTTTTCCTGAATAAAAGAAAGTTCAAGCCTGTAAAGCATATCTAGCTGTGAGTATTCAACTCAACTCGACTCACCGCTGTCTACAAAGTGCTGCTGTCCATGGAACCAATTGTTTTACGATTTGCTTCAAGGGTTCTAAAACCACTCCTATTGGCGCTAATCTTGAGCACGTCAATGGTGTTTTCTGCTAGCGGGGCCTTTCTTTGGACAGCACTTTGAAATACACAATCTTTGATTTATATTTCGTGAAGTAGTTGGCGAAACCTCACTCGGAGTTTGGCTGCGTTTTGATGTCGGCGTTGAGCGGAGTGGCGAGAGCCAAGTGAGCACACGAGGAAAGAGGAGGGCGGCCGAGATAACGGGTGTGACTCGGCAGAAGTGACAGTGTGATGTAGTGACGCGGGAAGCGGAGGGGAGAGGAGGAGGAGGAGGGGGAGACGATGGTAGACGCTCACAAAAAAAAAAAAAAAGGCCTAGGGAGGACGAACGTTGGGGGTAGGTAAACTAATCACGGAGCATGCAATGCAATTTTCTGGCTCTGTGCCTCGCACTCGGTTTCCTCCCACCACGCCGCCTGACGTCTTGAGGGCCTCGTCGTCATCCTTTTACTATTCCGCTCACAAACGCCGCCTCGCCCAGCTCCATCTATCAGGCCGAACCATTTTTTCACCAACCCCTTCCCATGGCTTTTTTTTTTTTTTTTTTTTTTTCCCCGCATTTTTTTTTTTTACCCGGCCATCCCCTCCGGCACGTGCTTGAAAATCGGTGTTTTGGCCCAAGCTGAGTCACCACCAAAGTCAAGATGGATCAGAAGCAGAAAAAGAACCAAGCGTTTTCCAGATGGCTGAGATTGCTCAGAATGACGGGAAGAACGGGGCTGTTGAAGGATGGCCGGAAGTGAGACGTCATTGTCAAGTAGCATTAGCTAGACGGGAGCGTCCCCCCGCTATGACGTGCGCTCGAAGTCAGAGCATCCATCATCATTGACGGCCGTGTCACCGGAGTGGCACCAAGGGACACGCTTGGTCACGCAGCACAACTTTCAAAGTGCACAAAAACCGTCCGCCAGCAAATAACATGAGACTTGATCTTTGGGGAACAGCTAAAGGAGGAACTCCACCCAAATCGTGCCGTTCTCTCTGTTCTCGGACACTGTGGCCACGTCCCCCCCACTCCCATCACCCCGCCGGACC